TTTGGAAAAAAAATCTCAGTTTGGTTTCTAGAACATCATGTGTCTCTCCGTATGCTATCACGAGTGACATACGAGTGACTGAGTTGGCACCGCAGGAGGGATTAACAGTGCCGGAGATTGACACTCCCCAAGGAACGGTAAACGTGTAGAGGGTGCCAGGTGCCAGTGTCAGTGCCAGTGACCCTCCAGAACAACCAGAAAAGTAGAACTAGTGTCGCCACAGAACCTACAAGATGAGTGCGAATTCCTGGTACCGACGCTATGTGTGGAACTACAAGGGAAACCGAGAGTATACCAAGTGAGTAGATGAGTAAATCGTGTTGTTGGCTTGTGGATTTAGTATTTGAGATTTTTTCTCTTTAATGTGTGGGATTAAAAGGCAAGGGTACACATTCCAAGTTCACACTCGCATTTTCACAGGGGCACGGGTACAAACGCACATACACACAAACAGGCAAGTATAGGCCTACACAGAGACAAACAGGCACGCATAGGCCTACACACACACACACACACACACACACACACACACACACACACACACACACACACACACACACACACACACACACACACACACACACACACACGGTAAGCGTTTCTATTTAACCATTCACATGTTATCCATTTCAATAACCACTTTCTCTCAATCTGTGTTCATCCATTGTCTGCTATTCTAGACATGTTTTCATTGATTGAGTTTTTTTTTCTCTTTTCTTACTGTCTGTTACTTTATTTCCCTCCCTCATTCTATCCTTTCTCCCACCCTCCTTACTTCCTTACTTCCCTCCCTCCCTCCCTCCCTCCCTCTTTCCATCCGCCCTTCCTCCCTTGCTTCCTCCCCCTCCTTCCCTTCGCCCCCCTCTCTCCATCCTTCCTTCTCTCCCTTCCTCCATCTCTCTCTCTCACTCTCTCCTTCTTCCCTCCCTCCTTCCCTCCCTCCTTCTCTCTCTCCCTCCCTCCCTCCCTCCTTTTCTCTCTTTCTCTCTCTCTCTCTTTCTCTCTCTTTCTTTCTCTCATCCTACTTAGTTATCTATCTACTTATCTACTCGACGCTTACCCAATTCAACCAGCGGTCAACTGGTACAGCCTTAAGTACCCAACATCAGTTACATAAACTCTCCAAAAATCAGTTTATTAGATTAAATGATAAAGATTCATTCTCGATTGACACACGCGATAATCTGTTATTTAGATATTGTTATCAACTTTTCGGTTATGTACTGAGGTTCAGATGACCTGATAAGACATAAGGTCAAGGTATTTGTCCAATACATGTTTTGTGATACATTAAAGGTTACATTAAAGAAGAAAAAATCTAGGGATTTAATAGAGTTTATTTTCCGGTAATTCCACTTCGAGATTTATCTCTATGATTTTTTTTTCAGTAAACCACAACTGTTGGTTGATATGTTGATGTTTGTGTTATATTTATCCTCTTTTTTTTCTTTTTTTTATGGCGTCTATATTTTCCACTTTTTTAAATTTTATTTTATTTATTATGTTGCTGTCTGGATCATATTTACGTCTTTTCCCCTTTCGTTTCCATGTTTTATGTCAATATTATTTTAATATTTTAGGTCGTCTACTCGTATATTTTTTTCTCTTTCCCCATTATTTTCAATCCATTCTTTCCATACTTTTTCTCATTTTCACATTTTAATCTCTTTTTTTTGTCTTTCTCTCTCTCAGGAGTGGTTACGATTATGCCAAGACCAGATTCGTGGCAGAGGACCTGGATGTTGATTGCAGTGATCGTCATTATGTCATAACAGGTGAGGTTTTTTGTGTGGGTCTGTTTATGTTTGCTTGTTTGTTTGTGCGAGTGTTTGTTTTGTTTTGTTTTGTTTTTGTGCGCGTACAATGAGGATAATGAGGATGATGACTAAGGTTGTTAATTAAATAGTAACAATAACGTTGATAATAGTACTGATGTTACACTATTTTCACCGAAAGAATTTAAGACCTAATATCAACGGAAATCAAACGAAGATAATGTTTGTTTTTTTTGTTTTTTGTATGCGTTAGATATCAGCTCCGTGAAAACGATGATAACGCCAAAATTTTATTAAACAGAATTTAAAACTAAAATGTAAATTATATGTGTGAAAAATATTGGATTTGTTATTTTACAGTTGCAGAAAAAAAATATTCGGTAATGATAACAACAGGTTTACATAACTCGTCTTTGCATTATCGGTTTATCTAAGAGTTCACTGGTGAATCTGAAGTGAATATTATGAGATTAAAAGGTAAATAAAAACTCGAGTTAAAGCTGAGCTAATCTCCATTAGATTAGAGACAAATGAGACATTTGTTCGTTATAATAATAAAAAAAAAAAATACAAGAGTCAGCTCTCTGTTTATGCACTTTCTTGTATATTACATTTGGATCAGGAATTTCAGTGTCAGAAAGAAATTGACAGGTTTTGGAGAACATGTTGCATTTATTTTTCAGGGCTATTTTTTTTTTCTTGTTTTAACATAAGATAGAGATTGTTGTAGAACACGTTAGGTGGTTTCAGGTGCCATTTTCACACAAGACCTGGGTGGTTGAGAAACACGCTAGATGGTTCAGATATAATTTTCACACAAGATACAGGTTGTTGAAGAACACTCTGTCTTTGCAAGGGTAGTGTACACAGGGCACAGGCAAGCCAAAGGCATGTCAGTGATAAATAGGAAAGTTTGGGTTATCGCGAAACGTAGGTGTTACGGGATGCTGATCTCCGTGGCCAACGACCCTAACAGGCCCTTCGGTGGTCGTCCGCCAGAAGTCGTGGTCGTCGGGAAAGTAGTCACCTGCCTCACGACCCTAACAAGCCATCACTGACACAAACACGAGGACGAGAAAAAAAAAAACTTCATTGCTGTAGCTTTATGTTGTGCAGATACACGGGTTTAATTCACGTAAAGTCGCTGTTTTAAAAGACATCTGGGTATCTTCAGTGAGTTTATTAGGCCTTTTTTTTCCCTCTTCCTTTCCCAGGAGGTGTGGAGGTTCTTGTTTAAGGATGCGTGGGATGCGGGTATTGCCCTCCACTAACACGTTCTCGGGTATACTGTATGCGCAGAGGAGGGACGGACCAAGGAGACACCGATGCCAAAATAGAAATTCGTTTTGCTTCTATAATCTCCACAGTTGTCATAATTAAGAAGGAAATAAAATATCGTCTCATTTAATATTTTCCTCAATGGATAGATCAGATAAGTAAAGCCAGTGTAAGTCGATATAATACCAGGAACAAAAGGAAAACGAGTGGAAACGAAATCTGTTCGGAAGCAGAATAAAAGAGAGGTTAGAATGACGTGGTGGCAATTCCTCGCGACTTTAAAGGTTGTAAAGTTTTGACTGACCTGAAAGTGAATGGTGGGATGTGTTTCCCACCCACACTTTTTATTGCCTATTGTTTTTCAATTTCCTTTTTCACGTTTTCTGCATCGTCCTCAGATTGATTTTCAGTCACCACATGATTATGAAATATCATAGAAATGCGCTGTATAATCCTACGTCTCAGCAGCATTATTGAACATTATTTCTTCTTTTATTAAGCATCGTGACAAAGGTATAGCTCCAATCAGTACTTAAGTTAATGTGTAGTATAATGAATTAATGAGATATTTCTACAAAAGAAGTAAAGCGTTTTCTCCCGCGCGTGGCTGGTTCCCGACTGTGTTTGCGCAGGTGTATGTAGCCCATGTGGCCGCACTAACTTAATTTACTATGTTCTGTGTTTTTTTTTTTTCGTTTTATTGGATATATTTAGAGAGATGTGTGTGTGTGTGTGTGTGTGAGTGTGTGTGTGTGTGTGTGTGTGTGTGTGTGTGTGTGTGTGTGTGTGTGTGTGTGTGTGTGTGTGTGTGTGTTTATATACTGATATCGTATTGTATCATTCTCTTACGACATGCTTATGCGCTAATAAATTAAACTCATATATTATATATATATATATATATATATATATATATATATATATATATATATATATATATATATGTGTGTGTGTGTGTGTGTGTGTGTGTGTGTGTGTGTGTGTGTGTGTACATATACAGTATATCAATAAAGATAATATTTTGTTTAGCAAGATATCAGTCATTACATAGTAAAGAGTGTAACAGATATATGTATATTTTTTGCCGTCGGCTTTAACAAATTTACTACAGGTGTGTTAGGCATGAGATAAGTAGCTGAGTGGGTGCTGTCTTTAAGTTGGACCTGAAGATGAATCCGCTGTAGGTGAGTGTGTGGAATGTATAGTTGAATCTGAGGGTGTAGGTTGTATGTATAGTTTTGTATATATACACATATGCTTGTGTGTGTATATATATATAATGGAGAAGTCTTTTGTATAGGATATAATTCATACATATATATTTCTTCTTTATATATATATATATATATATATATATATATATATATGTGTGTGTGTGTGTGTGTGTGTGTGTGTGTGTGTGTGTGTGTGTGTGTGTGTGTGTGTGTAGATAGATAGATAGATAAACATCAGTGATAACAATAGCACATGTAATGCTACTTTGCATTACTAGCGTTTTGAAATGCAAATCATTAGTATTAGTATTATAGTCATCATTATCTTCATCAATCATCGTTATTAGTATCACCATCATTATCACCATTAGTAATATAAACTTTACACATTTGTTTATTCATTGTATATATATATATTTTTTTATATATATATTTTAACAGTTTTTATACATTTTTTCAGGTTCCAACAGTGGCATTGGTTTCGAGATCGCTCAAGAAGTGGCGCGTCGGGGCGGAGTTCTGCACATGGTTTGCCGCAATTTCGAGGCAGCCAAGAAAGCGCGCTCCGATATCATTACCTCAACTGGTAATGATGTAAGTATATATGTATTTTTATTTTTAATCATAGACTTTAGAAGATGAAAGTTTTTTTTTTTTTTTTGAAAAAGTGATATATATATATATATATATATATATATATATATATAGAGAGAGAGAGAGAGAGAGAGAGAGAGAGAGAGAGAGAGAGAGAGAGAGAGAGAGAGAAAGTCGGTTGGTTTTGAATTTAATTTTTTTAAGAAGTACTTTCATTGAACTGACAAATATGCTCATCATTCTATAGCCAGTTGCACATTGTGTTCATCTATTCCCTGGAGAAATTGCATGTCTTCAGAACATGAATATGTAATATCTAAAACATAATTTCATCTTTCCGTGTAGATATCAAACACATAATACATAGTACATGTACAATTATTAGTATAAACACCCTATACATAAAAATAATAATAAAATAATAATAAAATAAAATAAAAATAAATAAATCTTCACATACGATATTATCTTTCCCCTCCAACATAAAACCAACCTGTAAAAAGTCCATGATTCATCTCTTGCAACAGAAAATCCACCTGCACACAGTGGACCTCAGTCGCCCCCGAGAGGTGCTGGCCTGGGCGAAGGAATTCGCCGCTACCCACGACAGGCTTCACGTTCTTATAAACAACGCCGGATGCATGATCCACGAACGCCGTCTGGATGAAGACGAGATTGAATATAACTTCGCCGTTAATACGCTGACTGTTCACATAATGGTCACGATGCTGTTGCCGCTGTTGCAGAGGTGGGTGATGGTTGTATTTGCTGTTGCAGAGGTGGATGCTAGTTATATTAGTGGATGGGATTCTGTGGAGATGTGATTGATTTGAATTCCTTTTTGGATTAGAATGATGAATCTAGTTAGATGGCTTGGTTAGTAGGTGTGTGTGTGTGTGTGCGTGTGTGTGTGTGGATGAGACTACTGTTAGGGCAAAAAAACACTTGTTACAGATAAATTGCAAAAGGCAGCTGCAGACGTAATATAACTGTCCAAAGATCGTCCAACTTGTATTTTGTTTACTTGACACATAAAATCATAAATGCAGTACAGACATGCGTTATCTATGTATCTGTCTCTCTCTCTCTCTCTCTCTCTCTCTCTCTCTCTCTCTCTCTCTCCTCTCTCTCTCTCTCTCTCTCTCTCTCTCTCTCCTCTCTCTCTCTCTCTCTCTCTCTCTCTCTCTCTCTCTCTCTCTCTCTCTCACTCTCTCTCTCTCTCTCTCTCTCTCTCTCTCTCTCTCTCTCTCTCTCTCTCTCTCTCTCTCTCTCTCTCTCTCTCTCTCTCTCTTTCTCTTTCTAAAATTATATGCATTATGTGTGCTTATCCACTTACTTCCCGGCTAATTTGCAACGCGCTTGACCAACAGGAGCGAAGATGCGCGTGTTATAAACGTCAGCTCAGCCGGTATGTTGTGCGTGAAGTTGGATCCTCATGACCTCATGCACGAGAGTATGGAACCGTTCAATGGAACACTTGTCTACTCCCAGAACAAGAGGCAGCAGGTGATGTTTCGTTGTTTATTTATTCATTTCTCTGGTTTTCTTTTTGTTCTTTTTTTTGTCTTTCTTTCGCTGTCTCATCTCTTTCTTTTTGTCTTTGTGTGTGTCTCTATGTCTATGTTTCTCTCTCTCTCTCTCTCTCTCTCTCTCTCTCTCTCTCTCTCTCTCTCTCTCTCTCTCTCTCTCTCTCTCTCTCTCTCTCTCTCTCTCTCTCTCTCTCTCTCTCTCTCTCTCTCTCTCTCTCTCTCTCTCTCTCTCTCTCTCTCTCTCTCTCTCTCTCTCTCTCTCTCTCTCTCTCTCTCTCTCTCTCTCTCTCTCTCTCTCTCTCTCTCTCTCTGTCCCCCTCTCCCTCCCTCCCTCCCTCCTTCCCTCTCTCCCTCCTCCCTCCCTCCTTCCCTCTCTCCCTCCTCCCTCCCTCCTTCCCTCTCCCTCTCCCTCTCCCTCTCCCTCTCCCCGTCCTTCCTCCCTCCAACCCTTCTTCTCTTCCCTTGTTTTTTCTTCTCAATTTTAGTATAACATGATGATAAAGTGATAAGAAGAAAAAAACAATGACAACAATGTTAATATTGATGAAAATTACAGTCATGATCATGACGTTATTAACATTATATTGCTCATGGCATAGAACAAGTACCAAAGTTGTTCTCTTGCTGATGTTCTGTTGATATCATGCAGGTGGTAATGACGCTGTGGTATGCGCAAAGGTACGATAAGATACATTTCTCGAGCATGCACCCTGGCTGGGCAGACACTGTGGCTGTGCGCACTTCCATACCCCAGTTCTATGAAATGGTAGGTTGTGTGAATTTAGTAGTATTTTATAGATATATATACATCCATACCCCAGTTCTATGAAATGGTAGGTTGTGTGAATTTAGTAGTATTTTATAGATATATATACATATGTATGTGTATATTTGTATGTATGAATATATATATGTATCTATATCTATATATATATATATATATATATATATATATATATATATATATATATGTATATATATATATATATATATATATATATATATATATATATATATATATATATATATTATATATATATATGTAATATATATATATGCGTGTGGGGTGGAGGGTGTTGCATATTTATATGTATGTATATGTATATATATATATATATATATATATATATATATATATATATATATATATATATATATATATATATATATATATATATCTTACCGTGTGTATGCGTATGTTTCATGCACTTATGTGGCTAATGTCTTTCTGCTTGTTCTCCTAAGACTTTCCTTATTTTCTTCATGATTATATCCAGTAAACGTGCGCATTTGTTGCAGATGAAGGACAACCTGCGGACGGCGGCGGAGGGCGCGGACACCGCCGTGTGGCTGGCCATCTCCAAGGCCGCCCTCAAGCACCCCAGCGGCCTTTTCTTCCAGGGTGAGGGGCGCGGGGGATTGGTTGTTATAAGCATGCACAGCACACACGCACTCACTCGCTTCTACATGCGACACAGGCAAACGCGCGCACACATACACATACATGCATACATACATGCATATTATATATATATATATATATATATATATATATATATATATATATATATATATATATATATATATATATAATACACACACACACACACACACACACACACACACACACACACACACACACACACACACACACACACACACACACCTATATATATATATATATATATATATATATATATATATATATATATATATATATATATGCATGTATACATATTATTAACAACGAGACAACAATTTCGAAATTCTCCTGGATGGAATCCAGGATTTGGAAATGTCTCGTTTTTAATAAATCTAGTTTGTTGCACTGGGTTTTTCTAACACAGTGTCAACACAATAGTGTTTTATCATTCATATATACATACATACATATGTGTGTGTGTGTATGTGTGTGTGTGTGTGTATGTGTGCGTTTGTGTTTGTAATAAACGCAAAGTATCGTATTATAAAAAAGTAAAGTCGAAAAATGAGATTTGTAATATAATGAATGAATTTGAGTAAAAACAAGAAAATTAGTAACTGATATATATATATGCATGTATACATATTATTAACAACGAGACAACAATTTCGAAATTCTCCTGGATGGAATCCAGGATTTGGAAATGTCTCGTTTTTAATAAATCTAGTTTGTTGCACTGGTATATATATATATATGCATGTATACATATTATTAACAACGAGATTAATAAATACAAATAGAAAGTGAAAAAGTACCAATAATGTCTCAAGATCCTGCAGAAATAATCTCGTTTGATTTCCGTAGTTTTCCAATGTCTCGAAGCACCTTAAAGCATTCTTAAACAAGAACCTCCACAATGGGTATTTCGGTCTTTGAGTACACTTAAAATCATTGTCTTATACTCACAGCTTAGCCACGTACTAGCGATATTATATTTATATGGCCCGATTATGTAAATTCTTATACTTTGTGTTTAATAGTCGTTCTTTTAAAAGCTAAGACTTAAACTTTGCCATGCTTAATCGTAACATGTGATAATGTTTGATTCACCTTCCAGACCGCGAGCCCGTGTCGGTGCATCTCCCTCTGGCATGGACCAAGTCTTCCATTGAGGATGAGAACCTCTTCATGACCAAAGTGGAGGAACTCTTCCAGAAAATCTCGACTCCAAAAACTGAGGAACCCGCGCAGAGTCAAGCGACCGTCGCGCCTGTTCAGGAATCGGCGACTCCACCTGAAGTAAAACCTGAGGAGCCAGTTGAGGCACCCAAGGCGGAAGCACCGAAACCCGAAGAATCAGTTGAGGAACCCAAGACAGCACCACCAGAAGCTGAAGAACCGGTAGAAGAACCCAAAACAGAAGCCCCAAAACCTGAAGAACTCAAGACCGAAGCGCCAAAACCTGAAGAACCGGTTGAAGAACCAGCAGCCCTTAAAACCGAAGAACCTCAGAGTGCGCCAGAACCAAAACCCGTAGAGCCAGTTGAGGAACCCAAGACGGAAGCACCAAAACCCGAAGAGCTAGTGGAGGAGCCCAAAAGTCCAGCAGCACTTATAAATGAAGAACCCCAGATTGCGCCAGAACCGCAGAAGCAGGAAAAGGAAGAACTTGTAAACTTCGAGGAAACAGTAGGTTCAAATGTTCAGACAGAAGCAGAAAGACCAGCTGTGACAACACCCCCAGCCATGGTGACGTGTGAAGGTCCAGTTGTATCAACCACTGTGACTGAGGACACCGTCGCGTCTACAGATGAAATCCTATCTAATTTGACCGACAAATGTACTCTTGAAGACGTACCACCAGCTGCGGTAGATGAAACCCCAGTAGAGCAAAGTCCATCGGCTGAAGTGGAAGAAACCCCAGGAGCTGGGGTGGAGAAAACGCCATCTCTCGAAGTGGAAGAAACCCCAGGGGCTGCCGTAGAGAAAACGCCATCAGCTGAAATGGAAGAAATCTCGGGAGCTTCAGCAGATACGAAACCGGCAGCTGAAGCAGAGAAAACAGCAGAAATTACAGATCATCAGCAATCCTTGGAATAGAGCCACGGTACACCTATGGAAATTGTAACCGAAACACATTCTTAACCTTAGGTTCTGATAGGCATGATACAATTACAAGTATGATTGTTGTTAAAGTAAGATCCAGTATAATGGTACCAATTGTTTAACTTAGTTATAATGCTTGAATATCAGTCTAGATCGTGCCATACAAATATCCTTAAAACTAATAAATTACTGTTGACTTAATGAAGCATTTGTATCTTATAATATAACTGAAATATACTGTAGTTAAATATTCTTAATTAGATCATAAAACTAGACTGTAAACTGTCATGCCCATTTATACCTTAGTAAATAAGGATATAAATTCTCAGGGGAAGTGTAAAACCAGTCAGTCTGCCAGCTTTAGTATATTCCTATCACGATTGGATAGACAGCATATGCGTTTATTTTGAATTGGCTTAACCTCAGAAAAAATATTGCTGTAGATGATTGCATAAAAATAGTTATTATTCCCCAAATTATGACCATGCTTCGCCAATTTTATAATTGTCTTGATGCCAAAGTGTCTTTATTGCAGGTGATTGCAATGTAGTTAGAAGTAGGTAATAAAGAAGTGCCTGTCCGTATTGCAAAAAATGCTATAGATGAAGTTTTAGAGCATTAGGATAGCATAACCATCAGTGTGTGTATATCTTCTGTCTATATAAACGTATGTAAACCCTGCTATAGTCAAGATTTTAAGTTTATTTAGCCATTTCTTCATTTAAGTAGGCGTTACTTTATTTTTAGAAAACTGTCTGTGATTGTGGGTTGTGCTTTTATTATTATTATTATATTTTGTTTCCGTATTTGTCTTACAAAATACTTGAGAAAGATGTAGAAAACCGCTCTTGATTTCTATCATAAAAAAATAGATCTTACACTTGGACCCAGGTATCTCTAAAGTGTTTTGGAGCGTATGTGAATACCCACAAAGTCTGAGCACAACGCTGCATAGATATACACAGGAAGGGTATACGAGTATGCGCAAACGTGTATTTAACCTGATAGATTTGGCAACAACTTTCTGGCTTGTGTGTTTACCAAAGTTAAAACTCTTTGTCCTCTAACCGTTTCTTATGCCAGGTGTTGTGCCATTTATAATGTATATTTTATTTTGCATTTACTACCGATTGCATTGTATTTCATTATGTATGTTCTGATGTAACTGTTAATAAAAGTATAATTACAGTTTTTATTTAATTTCCGCCATCTCTGCATTTCCTTACATATAACGAATATGTAAAAGTAATTCTTATGGTAATGATAATGATAAGAATAGTAGTATTTATCCTAGTAATAAATCTTTTGAAACTATCACAATTATTACATTGCATTTTTTGCACTGACGAACTGTATATATATGTGCGCAATAAGTTTCAGAGTGTATATTCAAATTTTACGTGTCAATAAAAAACAATTTATGCAGTCATAGAAACCATTGATCATTTTTATTTATCTGTTTTGATATGCCGTCCATTAATGATCTTTTCCTGATGTACTATAATATTTTCCACATTATTTTACGATTTCCAGTTCGCAAACTATTGTGATGTTTGAGATATACATACAGCGTTCACGTCCTCCGTCGTTACAAAGTCTTTACGGAAACTTCTTGTGGCAACTGTATCGCGGATTATACAATGTTTAGGTTACTTTCTTTTATATCTAAAACATAAACTGTTTACTTCTCTTATGTTATCATTTCAACATTAACCCTTGGACTCCATTAGAAAAAAAAATATTGACATAAATAGACACTACGTGAACATCATTGGTGGTTTTCATTTTCAGTTACATATCATTAATGGGGATAGGCAACAATTTGCACTTGTTGATGAGAATTCGCACTTTTTTGGTGATATTTTCCACTCTGGTGAATATTTGCATTGATGAAAATTTCCACTTGTTGAACATTTGCACTTTTTAAAGGGAATTGGAATTAGTATTAGTATCTTCGGGAGGTTCCTTTCCATTATTTGGCGTTCAAAGAACTTAGGGAATTTTAATAGTATAAACTTCGCTTCAAGTACATACACGCACACACTCACACACACTCACCCACACACACACACACACACACACACACACACACACACACACACACACACACACACACACACACACACACACACACATGTACATACATACATATATACAGTATACACAGTAGTGCCCATTGCCATGTTTTTTGTCTTTTCCCTGATCTGATCTCTTAGGCTAATTCCCAGTCTCTCTGTCCCTCTCTGGGCAGTTATTAGTTTCCTCTCCAGTAATTTAAATGTTGTCCATATTTCTGATCCATAGGTCATAACTGGGTGGACGCATTGGTTAAAGATATTTCTTTTCAAACATAATGGCAAGTAGCCTGTTAGTATGCAACTGTGTCTGCCGAAGGCGCTCCTGCCGAGAATGATGCGTCGCTTAATTTCCTCTTTGATAGATGTGTTTGTGTGTTGGAGTTGCCCTAGGTATATATATTTGTCCACTACCTCTAGCGCTTCGCCTTGAACATGTATCTGTTCGAACTGAACTCTACTGTTGAACATGATCTTAGTCTTTTTCTTGTTCATCGTAAGTCCGACTTTCAGACTTTCTCTATTCAGATCGTTTATTAGTTGCTGCATTTCGTTTGCAGATTCACTGAAGAGAACAATATCATCTGCAAATCTTAGATTATTTATGTATTCGTCTCCTATTTTGATACCCTTTCCGTTCCATTCTAACTTCTTGAATATTTTCTCAAGGTAAGCTGTAAACAGTTTTAGTGAGATGGTATCGCTCTGTCTAACATCTTTCTTAATTGGTGTTTATTGGTTTCCGTGTGTAGCTTGATGGTTGCCGTCCCATCTTCGTATGTATCTTCCCATATTTTACAATAAACCTCCTCTTCTCCCTGTCTTCCAATAGCGTCTAGTACTGCTGGAATTTGTACAGAATCAAGTGCTTTTTCATAATCGATGAAAGTCATACACAGAGTTTCCTATATTCGTTTATTTTTTCTTTTATTTGCATGAGCGTGTGGATGTGGCCATTTGTTGAAAATCCATTGCGGAAGCCTGCCTGTTCCTTAGGCTGGTTAGAATCCAGATTGTCAGAGATGTGAGTTGTGATGACTTTTGTGAACAGTTTGTAAATAACTGAAAAAATGGCTTATGAGTCGGCAATTTCTTAGATCCTTTCTATGTATGAAAATGATTGTTGTATTTTTCTCAGGTTTTCGGAGTTTTTTTTTCTGTTGAGAAGGCATTTCTTAAAAAGATTGGCTAGTTTCACGGTTGTAATTTCTTCTGCATTTAATATAACGTCTATACTATGCTGCTTCATTTATTATTTGAGTATTGAATTTTCGTGCATTTTCCCTCTTTTTCATTTATAGTCTTTCTTTTACACACACACACACACACACACACACACACACACACACACACACACACACACACACACACACACACATACACACACACACACACACACACACACACACACACACACACACACACACACACACACACACATACACACACACACACACACATATACATATATATATATATATATATATATATATATATATATATATATATACAGAGAGAGAGAGAGAGAGAGAGAGAGAGAGAGAGAGAGAGAGAGAGAGAGAGAGAGAGAGAGAGAGAGAGAGACTATAACACTGTATAATCAGTAAATAATGAAGAAATCTCAGCACCAATCAAGGCCAGTTCTAAAGCCTCACCTTGATAAGCTCATGATAAGTATATCAATAACAGAATCACCTTCGTTTTACCATCTACATTCAATGCGAGTTTTATACATATTTGACAAAGAGATTTACATTGTTATTGTATATATATATATATATATATATATATATATATATATATATATATATATATATATATATATATATATATATATATGCTAAAGAAATGAAAAAAGAAAGTTACCAAGAAGAAAAAACTTTCCTTGGCAAACATATAACACGACCTTCGAACACATTCACATTAAAAGGTAATTCCTCTTAACATCACAATACAAATATCAAAACATCACTCTTTGTCAATGAAACTTTCTTTAATAAGAATAAAAAAAACAAAACACCGTGAGCCTTGCAACAGAACAGAGCCGAAGCCGAATCCATTTCCAACCGGACTCATTCACAGCAAGGGAATCGGACGCAGTCGCCGGTCAGCTGAGGCCCAAGTGTTTCCCAAAAACTTCGAAAACTTTCCATTTCCTCTAACCATGGCCGCCCTAACGAGAGGTAAGCAGTTATCTTCTTCACTTACAACGATTTTAACCCAAATATCAATCCTGAGTGTAGTTATGAGGTGTTATTGCAGTAGGAGGCGAATAAGAGGATGTATGAGATAAGCCTATTCGTGCAAAGTGCAAAGTCGCGATGACTTGAGTTAAAAAACTTTGCAAGCTTACTTTAGGTGACCTTAGCAACAGTAATATGTCGTGTTTTCAGTTTTATTACAGACACATAATCATGCATAAGTTCTTAAATCCTTTGATTAATTTTTTTTACATGTGTACGCATGATATATATAATAGTGTTCTTCCACAAACTACAAGTTTAAGTTGTTGAATAATTTACCTATATTTACTAGCTATGGCTTTAAAAGCATGAATATATATGTTTATAGTCAGATATCGTTTTTAGTCTATCCAAAACTATTTTGAACTTAAATTGATCTATGGTGATAGACCTACAACTAAAAATCAAGTTATAAGTAGAGCAGTTGCAGGGCCTCCACGCTCCTTGCTTCAGTAAAGGCCAAGAAACCTCTTCACATCTGCTCTGGAAATGCTGACCTTAGATTTATGTAGGGATTTATAAGCCTGATCTTTGCTAAAATGGGGAGGAGGGTTGTTAGCTTTTTTATCAGAGAGCCGGTAGGCACAGAGGCCTTGTTTATTAGCATTCTGTATTGTGCAGAATTATTTAGAAAATGACTGAAGCTCTTTTATGTAGGCTTTTGAGATTTGTATACCTTCACTAAACCTGTTAACTTGATATGAATGTAGAGCAAGCATCAAAGCATATCTGGAAGAAATAGGTGAAGCAAAGTGTAATATTTGCAGCCAATGAAATAGATGTACTCTACACTATATTTATCATCATTACTGTGAATAAAAACACAAAGCGAAATACAATAACCCTATATTTTAGACAAATTCATAATTTACAAAATTGGTGTTATGAGTAATCTTAAGATCCCAGATTTCCAAACATATAACAACTAGCCTAATTAACAAACTTTCAGGCTGTGAATTAGAATGAATGTAATTATGGTTAATCTACATGGTATGAATGCACTAAAGTAGAGCGAATAAAGGATAATATTCTTGTAGAGGATAAAAAAGTTGTACTTGTACTTAACCCATTGCCGCTGGGGAAAATTAATAAAAAATGGGGAAAATGTTTTTTTTTTTTTTTTTTTTTTTGAAATGTTTCTACATATAGATGGCTCTGCCTTACCTGATTTCATCTTTCCTTTAATTGGCGGGAAAATGGATTTTTTCACTAGTGCTATGAATATTGGTGTTATTTTTATTATAAACATTATAATTACTATGTTTTCGAAAATTAAAGAAAAGGGTGAACGGGCGAGATAGGCAGAACTCGTAATTGGCTCATCTGGTGACTTAGTACAAGTGTAGCCATCTATGGGTAAAAACAATCCAATAAGTAAACTCACAGTGGGCATGGCATGACATGCCTGTCGGCAATGGGTTAAAAGAAATAATCTGCAGACACAAATGGTAATGCCACAAAGGAAAAAGATTGTGGAAATCATTACTCACACGTAAGTTTACTCGGTGCTCCCGAATTTCAGCTCCATCTTGTCATGCATACCGAGGTGAAGGCAGTGTATGCCAGGGGATGTTGGGGGGGCAGAGCCCCCGTCAACCCTCCCCTCAGGCAGTGCTCAAAGGCCACACCCAGTCATGGCAATTTAGGTTGTTAAATAAAGATTGTGACATAGTTGGAGACTTAGTCTCTGATGACAGTGTCTGTATTGTAAAGCATTGCCATAAATACAGTTGTGTATATATGTATAGGACAAGATAAAAGTTTGACTGGTAGAAATACACTTATTTTTCTTCTGTCCATGAATAAAACAAGTGTTTGAATTTATAGGACTAATAAAAATGTTTGAATTTTTATGTCCTTTATTTCTAATGTGGTTTTCTTAGGCCTATAAGATTCAAAAACATTTTTTTAAATTTCATTTAAATCTAATTAATATATTTTCTAGGAGAAACCTCAACTTTACTTCTGTTTCACAGGTATCTTCATCGTAGGAGCCAAGCGTACCCCTTTTGGAACGTTTGGAGGGAAATTGGCCAAGCTCACACCAACGGACTTGCAGGAAATTGCTGCCAAGTCTGCTCTTGCCGCAGCTAATGTGAAACCTGAACTGGTAGACTCTGTGGTTGTTGGCAATGTTATTGGGGTGAGTGTTTAATTACATATCCACAGTGATTGTTGAGCATTGCTTATCACATGTCATTTTGGTATTTGTGATTATTTGAGTTATGATATATTTTAAGAGGTTTTGGTTGAATTTTTGGCAATTGTTATATTGTTTTATTGTTCGCTTCATAACATTAAATACCACACACATTTTGGCATCCATTTCATTTAAAACTTAATTTTTTTTTTTAGCTTACTGACATTCCTGTTCAAAGCACTGATTATTGTATTTTCTGTGAACAGTGTGCGCACACAGATACCATTTACATCTCGCGTCATGTTGGACTTCGCTGTGGAGTGCCACTTGAATCTCCAGCCCTAACTGTCAACAGGCTTTGCGGTTCAGGCTTCCAGTCTGTGGTGAATGGGGCACATGTAAGTAAACCCATTTTAACTTTATGGGATTGATGGTCTTTGCTAATTTTGAAATGGTTTTCAGTCTGTAAAAAATGGAATTTGTATGAGTATTCCATTTAAAGGGGATTTTAGGAGTATTTTACAAATTAAACTTAAACTATCATATCATTTAATTTACATCATGTTGATCTGAGGTAAAATGCTCAATGAAAAGATGCAGCCTCCTTACAGTGTTGTAAATAAATGAAAAAAAAGAGGTTGTAATAATTTTTTAAAAGTTGGTGAATGCTTGCTTCAAGAGCCTAAGATTTACAGTACTGTTGTGTTGATTAATTAACACCAACTCAGATGATTGCACTTGTGTATTTCTATTAGTATATGCTATTGCATCTTTAATGTTTGTTGTAATTTTAGTTATAGACAAATACGTGAGTGTTAATTTTTAGCGTTTAAGCAAATTTATACTTTACATTTATTAGACAAATCTGAAAAGTAATTACAAGAAAATTCAATAATGAGACTGTTATATCTATTATGTAGTCCATTCTGTTCTTTTTTGTAGAATTTGTTAATTAAGTTTTTTTTAATATTTATATTTTTTTATTCAGGACATCATTATGGGTGATAGCAAGATTGTGCTGACCGGCGGCACCGACAGCATGAGCATGGCTCCCTATGCTGTTCGCAATATTCGCTTTGGAACTCGCCTCGGAGCAGACCTGGCCATGGAGGTATATAGCATACCAGGAAGATGAATATGAAAATAGATAAATGAATAAGAACAGCTATTGATAAAAATGGATTTGGATGATTATATTAAGAGACAGAAATTTTATGAATCCTTTATTTAAAATCAGTGTAGAGACTGAGGAGATATTTTCTTCAAGTTTTAGCAAAGCCCTGTGATAAATGTAACTTGATTTCATATGTTTAATAAAATGTTTTTTTCAGGACACACTCTGGGCATCCCTTACTGATGCCCATTGCAAGACCCCTATGGGAGTAACTGCAGAGAACCTTGCAGCCAAGTATGATATTACTCGGCAAGATGCTGATGAATTTGCTCTCAAGAGTCAGATGAACTGGAAGAACGGTAAGGTGTCAGCTGCCTTAAGCAAGTCAGATTCTCAGGTGTTGTCTTAGTCAAGTTTTGGAGTTCACTAGCATCATTTTAATCGTCAATAGCATTTAAACAAGTATCAAGAAATTTTAAAGAATACATTCACCCTCTTCCATAGCTCAAGAAAATGGTCACTTTGATGCTGAAATTGCACCAGTCACTCTGAAAACGAAGAAGGGACCTGCAGACATGACTGTTGATGAGCATCCCAAACCCCAGGCAACTATTGAGGGATTGGCCAAGCTGCCAAGTGTGTTCAAGAAGAATGGAACAGTAACTGCAGGAAGTGCATCAGTAAGTGGAAAAGTTTTTTTGTACAGCATGAGAGATATGGTTAAGTTTGACTCTCGGTTGTAAGTACGACAGATTTTGGATTATGTTTATACTGTGGTCAATCTTGCCGCACTTCATATAAATTCAATTTGTGCATTTGTTCCTCAGGGCATTTGTGATGGTGCTGGAGCTGTTGTCTTGGCATCGGAAGAGGCCTGCAAGGAGCATGACCTCAAGCCCTTGGCAAGGTTGGTGGGTTACTCTATTGCTGGTGTAGACCCAACTATCATGGGTATTGGCCCAGCTCCTGCCATCAGGAAACTGCTCAAGATCTCTGGTCTGCAGCTGAGTGACATTGGCATGGTAGAGGTAAGTTTGAAATGACATAAGATATTAAAGTTCAGCTGGTTAAAGCTGAGAGTATAGGGTTAGGGTAGTAAATCCAGCAGAGAATTAGCAAAGTTTTGATCTTGGTTTTCAAATACCTAACTTTAGCAATAGTTCTGTTCTTGAAAGTGAAATTTTAAGTAATCCCAAAATCTTTTTCAGATCAATGAGGCTTTTGCACCTCAGACTATTGCATGCCAGCGTGACCTTGACCTGGACCCTGCCATACTCAACATGAATGGAGGAGCCATTGCCTTGGGCCATCCTCTTGGTGCTTCAGGCTCTCGTATCACTTCCCACGTTGTGCATGAAATCAGGTCATTACCCCTTTATTATTTTGGTACTGCTCTGTTATCCTTGATTTTTAAACCTGTTTGGCAATTATATTTGTTGTTGATTTATTTTATCTGCTTTTCAGGCGTCGTGGACTGAAATACGGCATTGGCTCGGCTTGCATTGGGGGTGGTCAGGGCATTGCTCTGCTGCTAGAAAGCCTTTAAGGGACTCCATCCAGTTGCATCCTTCCAGATAAAAAATTGGAATTTCTCAGATATTAGCATTTATGCATAAATAAGAGCATTTTATTTTAAATATTATGGTGGGATGTTTTCAAAATTCAGAAAGTGTCTTTGATCCCACTTCAAGATTTTTTGAATGACACATGCACCTATCAATGCAATTTTTGTACAAGTTTAATATGTATAGAATTCTTTGTATAAATCCAGTAACTACATTTCATATATAGCTATATAAATTCATAAATTATGTGGAACATTTCTTTAACCTTCATCTCTTATTTACATTAACAAAATGAGCTGAAAAGTATTAAATAGGAGTTTGCTTATCATTTGCTTATCTGTTTAGAAGTTGATATTTCACTATAAAGAACATTATGGTTATGGTCAGCTGTTCATTATCACTGAGAACCTCCGAATACCATGACCATTATCATATCTAACCTGATTATTGATGCAAACACCTTACAGGTGTCAATAATGTTATCTATAAAAAGAGAAAATGCAGTCTTAGAAATTTAAAGGGATAATTTGAAATGGTAAACTTGAAAAATATTATGATAAAATTAATAAAAAATTAAGTGCCTTGAAGCATCTCTCTCTCTCACACGCACACACGCACACACACACACACACACACACACACACACACACACACACACACACACACACACACACACACACACACACACACACACACACACACACACACACACACACACACACACACACACATATATATAAAACACGCGCACACACAGTGTACACCGGATTGGAGACAAGTTGGGAAAATAGAACAAGTCGCAGCATTTACAATTACGGGCCCACAAGGTTACGTTTGTGATGCCCACAACTGCTCGTTTTTCTCTTAGTACTGTCTTTTATCTACTTGGCTGATAACGTTTAGTAATGTGTGAACTCGGTTTAATGTATGGTTAGTTCCACGTCGAACATCCATAAGCATACTAACATTGGAATTGACACGAAAAATAGTAAAACACTCAATTACAGGAATCTTAACGTAAATATATGACTCGCATTAATTTATTGCATAACCGTAAGAGGTTAGATTAGTGTTAATTGGTCCGTGATATTGAATTTGTATCGCCCCGTTTTAAACTTCATGGATTTTTTTTTTTAATTCATAGAATTTTTGAAAATCCTCTACTTAGATCGTTGAAATTTTAGAATATCTGAGCAACTGTTGAAACTGACTCAGTGTTGCCGGGATGGCGAGAATACTGTTCACTGTTTTTCTCTTGGAATGGATCTACCCATAGATGTTTCCACAAGTACTTAACCCATGCTAACGGGTAATCTACTATGGTTCTGTGAATTTTGTTTGCACATAGATGGCTCCCCAAGTGCTCAGCTAACAAAGAGCCAACCTGTAGCCTATTTATCCTCGGCTGATTTCGCTTTTTCTTGAGTTTTCGGGAAATATATTTACATTTTTTCTTTTTTATTAATATCGGTATGATTTTAATGTTTATTAACAGTACTATAAGCAATGAAAATTTAAATGAATCCAAGAAAATCAAGAAAAAATAGGTGAGCTAGGTAGGACTAGCAATCGACTCCAAGATAAAGAAAAAAAATATATCCGTAACTGCCTTAACGTTCCGAAAAATATGTCTGAAAATCTTCGTTTCTGCAAAGGAGCAAATATAACACTATAAGGCTTATCTTCCATCAAAACTACTAAATGGTTCTATTTACCGTTACACTTAGTCGAAATAATATCGTAAACAACTCGAGCTTATCTTACGGGAAGTCTTGATGTAGGTTAAGTCCCCGACGCTGATACCATAGTTACCTACTTTCTTTGTTCGTTTTTGGAACAGATTTTAAAGGGATATTATTTGAAGTTTTCCTCGGGTTGTCGCTAAAGTTATGATTTTAAATTTGCCGTTTTGTGGTTTGGAATGTTTTGTTTTTTTTCGTGAATTATTTTACAGTACGTAGATAGTACTGGATTGGTTACACGGATTTACTAATACCCGGTCTACAATCATGCTGAATCATTTCTTACCCTACTTTTCTGGATATGGTTTGTCCTTTTTTGTAACGTTTGTTTGTTGGTAACATTTCGCTCTAAGATTTCGTTAAATAGTAACCTGAAAAGACTAACTAAATATAATTGGTTCGAGCCTGTAAATTTATTATAAATGCATGATTATTCAATGGATATCCCTTTTCAGAGGTGATTTATATCTTTTTGCTTTTTCTCCAGTGTCGTTAAGCATTACTGAAGGGTGAATAATTTAACATTTCGATAAGTTTCTTGCAGATTTTCCCAAATATTTACCTTTAATATTGTATCGTAATTCTTTTAATCTTTTTAGCACTGCATTTGGTAAAGGTTGAGTGCACGCGGAAGTGATGAGGGAAAAAGAGAATTATGGAATCTGATCCGTGGATAAATACTTCTAGAAATTATAGAATTTTGAGGTAAAAAGGCCTAACGCTGTTTTCTGCGGTTTTGGTGTAAATCCTGTTATGGATATAGATTTTAGTTTTATGAATTTGAGTTCGCAAGTGCCTCTGGTTTTGAATACACACACACAAGTGTGTGTATATATATATATATATATATATATATATATATATATATATATATATATATATATGTGTGTGTGTGTGTGTGTGTGTGTGTGTGTGTGTGTGTGTGTGTGTGTGTATGTATGTGTGTATGTATGTATATGTAATTTTGTGTCGTATTTTTTTGTATTTATTTTTATTTTTTTATTTTTTTGTATATACCAAATAAGCTGATTTTAAGTGATACGAATCAGGATCCGTTTTGATTGTATTTGATAATGTCACGGCTCATGTATATTCATGCTCATTGGAAATGTGTGTACATGTACATGGGTGCATCAGTGTACGTCCGGGTGTGTGTGTACATATATGTCTGTAGAGTAGGTGAGGGAATGCAACGTAATAACCATCTCCCTCCCCCATTTTTTTGCCCAAGAACAGGACAAATTACCTCAGTCCTATACAATCCTATATCATTATTATACAGTGCTCATTGTAGACTACAACTGTGAATGCTTTACGGAAATTTAAGAGCAGTCTAAAAGTTTTTGGTCCACAGTACGCTCTGCCGAAAGAGAGACCGCAACCTTCATTAGACCCCCCCCCCCGCCCCTACCCTACCCACCCACCCACCCACCCAATAACACACGCCCAGTCTAGTTAACTGCGCAACTAGACTCGAACGATTGATAAACTATTTGGCAGTTTTTGATTCGTTCAATTAGTGTAACCCCATTAAGACGAAGTGCGGAAGTTTAAGATATAAAATTGCGAATACGCTCATGCACCCATGCGTTTACACACACACACACACACACACACACACACACACACACACACACACACACACACACACACACACACACACACACACATACACACACACACACACACACACACACACACA